TGCACATCAGTCATCCTACTCTGGGCCGTGTCGGATGGGCCATTGTTCAGATATGTCCGTCGACGGGGATCCCAGTTCGTGCTCAGTACGGGGGCCTCCCTGGCCGCGACCAAACGGTGCCTCGAGGAGAACGCTACGCGGGATACCGAGCGCTGATGATGATGGAACGGCCAGGCTTAATTGTCAGTGATCACCTTTCGTTCGTACGTGAAGCTAACAAATGGAGCCCTGAACTCGAAGCTAGCGGCTCGCTGCACGCCGAGGTCTGGCGCAAGATCTTCCATCTCTGCCGTCATGACCAGCAGCGCTCTGAATTTGTCTGGGTGCCTTCCCACAAGGACATTCAGAATTTCATCGAGGCAGGTGGATCACTTGCCCATGCACATGGGAATGCATGGGCCGACTTCTTTGCATATGCTGGAGCTATGTGCGTGAAGGTCGCGGACACGCTGGCAGAACATCACAAGCAGATGATCGCCCAGTCCAAGAAGATCGCCCAGTTCACGGCGTACATGGCATCCCGCACGGTCAGGATGTTCAAGGAAGTTGGGGAGCCCCTGGTTAAGAAAAGCAAGTTTGATCAGGCCCCCAAGCTCTCCCTCACCGAACATGAGTTTGTTACCTAACAGCGAAGACTGATAGGTTTCTAGTTGACTCAAAAGAGCTCACAGATCACTCCACAGGGGGGTCCGGGCAGGTGTTGGGGAGTTGCCGGGCGGCAGGGTGCCGGGCTCGTTTTTCACCAACAGTCACACACTTCGTGCTCTTCGACTTCCCAGAACTCCATTCCCAGGCCACATTCTGAATACCCGGATGCAACAGTCACACACTTCGTGTTCTTCGAGATCCCAGAACGCCATTCCCGGGCCACATTTAGAATAACCAGATGCAACAGTCACACACTTCGTGCTCTTCGACATCCCAGAACGCCATTCCCGGGCCACATTCTGGAGGGCCGGATGCAACAGTCACACACTTCGTGCTCTTCGAGTTCCCAGAATTCCATTCCCGGGCCACATTTTGGATGCCCGGAGCCAACTGTAGGCCACTTCGTGCTCTTCGAGTTCCCAGAACTCCATTCCCGGGCCACATTTTGAATGCCCGGAGCCAACTGTAGGCCACTTCGTGCTCTTCGAGTTCCCAGAACTCCATTCCCGGGCCACATTTTGAATGCCCGTAGCCAACTGTAGGCAACTTCGTGCTCTTCGACTTCCCAGAACTCCCATTCCTGGGCCACATTTTCAGCAGGGGCAAGAGCACGACGAGGAGGAGGACGAGCAAGACCAGGAGGACGAGGACGAGCAGGAGCAGGACGAGGAGCAGGAGGAGCAGGAGAAGAAGGACGAGCAGGAGGAGGAGGAGGACGAGCAGGAGGAGGAGGACGACCAGGAGGAGGAGGACGACCAGGAAGAGGAGGAGGAGGAGGAGGAGGAGGGGGAGGAGTACCAGGAGGAGGAGGAGGAGGAGGAGGAGGAGGAGGAGGAGGAGGGAGGAGGAGGAGGAGAGGAGGACGAGGACGAGGAGGAGGGGGGGGGGAGAGTACCAGGAGGAGGAGAACGAGGACCACCAGGAGGAGGAGGAGGAGGAGGAGGAGGAGGAGGAGGAGGAGGAGGACACCAGGAGGAGGAGGACGAGCAAGACGAGGAGGACGAGAACGAGGACGACCAGGAAGAGGAGGAGGAGGAGGAGGAGGAGGAGGGGGAGGACTACCAGGAGGAGGAGGAGGAGGAGGAGGAGGAGGAGGAGGAGGACGAGGAGGAGGAGGAGGAGGAGGAGGACGAGGAGGAGGAGGGGGGGGGAGAGCACCAGGAGGAGGAGAACGAGGACCACCAGGAGGAGGAGGAGGAGGAGGAGGAGGAGGAGGAGGAGGAGGAGAGAGCACCAGGAGGAGGAGGACGAGCAAGACGAGGAGGACGAGAACGAGGACGAGCAGGAGGAAGAGGAGGAGGAGGAGGAGGAGGAGGAGCAGGAGAAAGAGAGGAGGAGGAGGAGGAGGCAGGCTGAGGCTGAGGCTGTGACTGCGACTGCCGTTGCCGCTGCGACTGTCATCGCGAATGCGACTACGACTGCGAGAACAGCAGAATTCGACAACTGGATTTTCATCTGAATCTTAAGGGGAATGCTTTCAGATATGCTTCTACACATCGCTGTTAGGTTGCTTTGCCGGGATAATCCAGGACGGTGCCCTTGTGAGATGTTCCAAGTGCCTCAGGATCGCCACTACCCCTGTGAGCTACAGGACCCTTTTTCACTCGCCTTGTCTTGGGGCCCCAAAAATCGGTAGTGGACATAAACTCATCCGTTGGGGCCCCGCTGGAATCTGTGAGCTCTGTGGGCGCTATAGTTTGCAGGTTGACAAGTACATTAAAAAGCTCCGTGAGGATTGTCTTGGGCCGCCAGTCAATCAAGCCACTCGGGCGAGCGTTCGCTCCCAGGTTAAAGCCCTGTCAGCAGGACGTGTGCCCAGGACGAGGCGGCCCATCCTCCTCGGGGCTGATGCTGCAGCGGGTCCTGGCAGCCAAGAGGCCGCCCCATCCAGCTCAGCTGCGCCCTCTCGCGTCGCCGCCGCCCTCCGACCGGAGGAGACGGCGGCTGTGGGGAGGGACGGGGCGGTGGACGGTGGTGGGACTGATTCGGGATCATCCGACTAGTCGAATCCTTCTGCAGCTGGACCTTCCAGCCTCGCCTGGGGCCTTCCCCCACCAGTGGGTCTCTGCCCCAGGCTGCCGCCTGCCGCCCCCTGTCGTCTGGACTGGGCCTTGTGGGGGCCTAGGCTTCACTGTTTGTCAGCCCGTTTGGCTGATTTCGGATCGACCTTTGGGTTGATCTCCGCGTGGGGCCTCGAGGTTCTTGAGGCCCCTCTCTTTTCAATTCGGCCCTCTTCCGTTCCTTTGGGTTCGGTTGGGGCTCCCGACTTGGACATCCAACTCCTCCTCCTCCTCCTCCTTCTCCTCCTCCTCCTCTTCCTCCTCCTGTTCTCTCATCCCTCCGCCCTCCTCCCAATCATCCACATCCTCAACATCCCTTCTCCCTCTGACCCCTCCTCATTCGCTTCCCTCGCCATCATCCCCCATTATCTCTCTCTCTCTCTCGCTCTCTCCCTCTCTCCCTCTCTCCATCTCTCTCTATACCTATACGACCACCCTGCGGGTGATAAGGAGGTGAGGGGGGAGGGGGAACCAACGTCTCACTCAATCGATCTCGCTATCGATCTCACATTCGATATCACTATCGATCTCGCTATCTATCTCACTATCAATCTCACAATCGATCTCACAATCGATCTCACAATTGATCTCACATTCGGTCTCACATTCGGTCTCAATGTCGATCTCACAATCGATCTCACAATCGATCTCACAGTCGATCTCACATTCGGTCTCACATTCGGTCTCTTTATCGATCTCACTATCGACGTCATCATCATCATCATCGTCATCATCATCATCATCATCATCATCATCACCATCATCACCATCATCACCTTCATTACCATCATCACCATCATCATCTCACAATCGATCTGACTATCGATCTCACAATCGATCTCACTATCGATCTCACAATCGATCTCACATTCGGTCTCACTATCGATATCACAATCGATCTCACAATCGACGTCATCATCACCATCATGAACAACACCATCATCATCATCATCATCATCATCATCATCATCATCATCATCATCGCCATCATCACCATCATCATCATCATCATCATCATCACCATCATCATCATCATCATCATCATCATCATCATCATCATAATCATCCACATCATCATCGGGACACCGACGGGACACCGACGGGACACCAGCGGGACACCGGCGGGACACCGCGCGCCACCGGCCGCCCGGAAGGGAAACATTTGGTCCGGCCGCGCCTCAGCCACAGGAGAACCGACGGGACACCAGCGGGACACCGGCGGGACACCGCGCGCCACCGGCCGCCCGGAAGGGAAACATTTGGTCCGGCCGCGCCTCAGCCACAGGAAACTTTCTCTCGCCCGCCCACGCAGCTTCGCCTCGCCCGCACGCACGGCACGCACGAACACGAAACCGAAATCGATTTCCCGGTAAGGGGGCTCTCCGTTCCACTTCGATCTCACCCCCTCACCTCCGATCTACCACGTTCGCTCTCTCTCTCTCTCTTTTCCCCCATATCTCTCTCTCTCTCTCTCTCCCCACTCTCTCGCTCTCTTCCCCTGTTGTTCTCTCTCTCTCTCTTTCTCTATTTCATGGCATTGTCGTTCTTACTACCATGCCCCTCTTCGTCCTGATCATGCTTCTCCTGCTCCTCAGATGTACTCTTGTATTCCTGCCTTTGCTCATGCTACCACTCCTTCCTCCTCATCCACCTCCACCTCCACCTCCTCCTCCGCTTCCTGCTCCTCTTTATCCTCATCCTCCTACTCCTCTTGCTCATCCTTCTTCCTCCTCTCTCCTCCCTCTCATCCACCTCCTCATCTCTCTTCCCTCTCATGCCTCCTCCTCCTCCTACTCCAAATGTTCATTCCTCCTCCTCCTGCTCCTCCTGTCCCTGCTCCTTCTCCTGCTCCTCCTCCTCCTCCTCCACCTTCTCCTGATCCAACTCATCACCCCTTCCCCCTCCTCCAGCTCATTCTGCTGATCCGCACCCCCCATATACTCATCTTTCCCCCTCCCCCTACATGTCCGTTCGTGACCTCCTCCTCTAATGTGCGCAGCTCCTCCTCCTCCTCCTCCTCCTCCTCGTCCTCCTCCTCCTCCTCCTCCCGGTTTCGCACAGCACGATGGTGCCCCCTTTGGAGTTCCAGGTCCACTATGGCACGCGTCGGTGGCCAACGAACACAACAGCGCAATGGGAAGGGATGGGTGGGAGAGGTCGGATGCCAGATATGGCGCGAGCGCACCTATCTTGCCAATCTCCTCCCCCTTCCCTCCCTCATGTCTCGCACCCCTGGCTCCCTCCACCTCGCCGCCCGCCTCCCCGGGCGGACCCATCCCTCCCCGGGCTGACCCTGCTCGCTGAGGTACGCGCTCAGACCGATGTCGACCCATGGCAGCTCCAGGGACCCCGAGCTGCCCCAGAACCAGCCGGCCTCACTGCTCGTGGTGAAGTCCTCTGGACCGGTCCTCACCTGATGGGGCCCGAGATCTTCCCCCCCCTCCCTCCACCTTCTCCTCCGCCGTACACCCACCACCATCATCATCATCATCATCATCATCATCATCATCATCATCATCATCATCATCATCATCATCATCATCATCATCATCATCATCATCATCATCATCATCACCAGCATCTCCATCACCATCATCAGCATCATCCACCTCGTGATCATCACCATAGTCATCATCAGCCATAGTCGTCTTTCTCATCACCAGGAAAACACGTTCGTGGCACCAAGTTTCAACATGTGTAACAGCTGGCTCCCTCCCTGATGCCTCCCTCTCCTCCTGTTGCCGCTGGTCCTCCTCCTGCTGTTCCTCTCCCCGGTCCGTTCCCGACCACGGATGACCCAGCTGTTGGGCATGCGCTTGACGGCGACGAAACTCCCCGTGGACACGACGCGCATCAGGTCCACGCGCCCCTGGTTGCGGGGCGCATCCTGCGGGCCAGTTCCTTTTATGCCATTCGAAGACGCGGCGACAGACGCACCCTAAAAAAACACCCCCTCTTAGTCCGCCTCGTTCGTTTCGTCTTCTTCCTGCTGCAGCTCATCCTGCTGTGAACCCTCTTCCCCCCTGCCGCGGCGCTTCCAAGAAGCAGAATGAGAAGGCAAGACTGGGCTCTCTTGCAGCATTTAGCGCTTAGCTTTTCAAGCATGGAACAGGACAGGGCGACGAAGGATGACGCCGACGTAATTCGATGATGAGGGATGGGTGGTAATATCTGTATATATATATATACAGATATCTATATACACATATGTGTGTCAGCTGCGGTTGTGACTGGGTCGATGGCGACCAGAAGGTATTCGTATGTAACTACTGTGGAACTCATGGTGGACGTATGGTAAACCCACCGAGGATGGCTACGGTAAGGGCCGCTCGCAAGATGGCCCCACCGCGGGTGACTGTAAAGGAGATGGCCGCAAGTGACCAACAAGCGAATGGTGCCACGGATGAGCGTAAGGCGATCGCATCAAGCGCACCTGCAAAAAACACGGACTGTGAAGTAGCTGCGCCGAGCTCGGCTGCAAAAGACAATCTCGGGGCCCTCTTGGACCGCCCAGAGACCCTCCGGGGAGCCTCTGGAGCCGTTTGGGGGCCCTCCGGCTGCCCGGGGACCAGGGCCCCCCACCGACCCAGTGCAGAGTAGACTTGTTTTTCCCCATTTGCTAAGCGGGTTTTGGGTTTTCGCCCTTCCCGCGTCGCGCCCGCGTCTCCTCCTCACCCCTCCTCCTTCTCCTTCACACACAGCACAACACATCACAGCGCAGCGCAGCACAGCACAGCACAGCACAGCTCAGCACAGCACAGCACAGCACAACACAATTTTGGTTTTCATTCCTGCCGCGTCGCACCCGCGTCTCCCGCACACACACACACACCTCCCCCATCCGCCTCCTTCTCACACAGCACAGCATTCGATGTGATGCATCGTACGTGGTGCAACCTGTGCTGCAATTGATTTGTACAAGCGAGCTGACACATCCCATGCTCTTGCAAACATCTCACCCACCAACCCACCCGCAACTTGGTTTGCAAAACCCATGCGGCGGCGGTTGCGAAGAGTGCTTGGCGTTGGCTGGTGCATCTGTGCGGCCGCGCTGGCCCGCGTATGCTCACGCGCATAACGGCCAGCTAGTTTGGCGCGACCGACGCGGCCGCGGTGGCGCTGACTGCTGGGCACTTTTCAGCCCGCACCTCAGTGCGAGTCGGTGACTGGTGCGGGCGCGGTATCGTCGCGACGCCGACAACGGTAGACGCGATTCTGAAAGTAACGATGATGGTGGCGATAGTGACGACGACGACGGCAAGGCCAATGGCGACGCCTTCGTTGATCACGCCCGCCGATGTCGTCGACGATGTCCTCGCGTCGGCGATGAAGGCTACTGAAAGAGTTCGACATGCGCGCGCGGCCGACGCGCGCGAGTGGCCCGCGTGGCACTATTCGAGGCGGATCGCGCCCCCCACCCACACGCGCGCAAGGGCGTTCGAGTGAGTTTGACACGCGGCGCGAAAGGCCCGCTTGGCAGAATTTGATGAAAATGTTAGAGGGCCGATGGTTTCCTTGAAAATTCGCACGAGCCCGAGCGCAACAATTCTTTGAAAACGGATGTTACAAAATCGTGTGTTGTTATAGGTTTTCGGGGCTCTCGATCTTGAAATCCGCATGAGAACGACATCCGGCGCGCGCACGCGACGACGCGCGCACGTGCGCTTCGCCACATTTCATCTTTTTCTGCACGGGATTATCGCGACAGTGCGCGCGCAAGGGCAATTGAACGATTTCGGCGCGCGCGCGCGAGAGGCCGATTTGGTAGCGCTTGATGAACATGTTTAAAACCTAGTTGTTTGAATATATATATATACATAAAAAAAAAAAAAAAAAAAAAAAAAAAAAAAAAAAAAAAAAAAAAAAAAAAAAAAAAAAAAAAAAAAAAAACGCGAGAACGCTGGCGCAAACATTTTGCTGTGGAGAGCTCTCGTTGCAAAGCCATGTGTACTTCAACCATGTTTTCGTGACGTTCGATTTCGGAACCCTTGCGGAACCGATTGTTTTTCATGATTTCGGCACGCGCGCAACGACGCGCGCGCGCGCGTGCACTGCGTCAAGTTTATGGCAAGCGAGTCTTGCAAGCTGCAGGTTTTATATACACGAGAACGCACGCATGAATTCTCTTGCAGAGTATGCCGGGGGGAGGGGTCGATGCCGGCCTGGCTGGGACGTTCTGAATTCATATTTACGATGGACGATGGGGCAGAGTCGTCTGTACATTGCAATGCGAAAAGAGGGGCGGTTAAGTCTGGGGGGTGGGCGCGAGGTATATCCTGACTGTTTTGAGACCGGAGACTCTACGCGGTGCAATCCACCAATGCTCAACTTGAGATTGCCACTCCACTGACCGCGCAAACATTCCACCCGCCCACCCGCAACTTGGTTGGCAAACCCCGTGCGGCGGCGATTGCGATGAGTGCTCGGCGCCGGCTGGTGCATCGCTGCGGCCGCGACGGCCAGCGCATGCGCGCGCAGCGGCCAGCTACTTCGGCGCGACGGAACCGCTGTGGCGCTAACCGCCGGGCACATCCCAGCGGGCACCTCAGTGCGAGTCGCTGACTTGGGCGGGCGCGGCATCATGGCAACGTCGACAACGGTAGACACGGTGATGATAGTAGCGGTGCTGGCGACGATGCTCACAGCGATGACGGCGCGGACAGCGACGGCGCAGATGCTGATCGCGCTGGCGACGACGACGGCGCCCTCGCGTCAGTGATAAAGGTTTCGGGGAGAGTTCGACACGCGCGCGCGGCCGACGCGCGAGAGAGGCCCGCAGGATATAATTCGCCGCGGATCGCGCCCCCCCCCCCCAAGCTCGCGCGCAAGGGCGCGCGAATGATTTCGACGCGCAGCGCCAGAAGCCCGTCTGATGGAATGCAGTGAAACTGCCGGCGAAAAACCGAAATGGTTTTCCTGGGAAGTCGCAGGACCGCGAGCGCACATGTTTTCAAAAACTGCCGTTGCGAAGCCATGTGTTTTTAGTGTTCTTGGTGACACTCGGTTTAAACAAACAGAACGAAACCTACGGCTTTTGACAGATTTCGGCAAGCGCGCGACAAACCGCGCGCAATTCGCCCCATTGATTGCAAGGGATTCTCGCGACGGCACGCGCGCTAGGGCGTTCGAACGATTTCGACATACGCGAGCGAAGCCCGTTTGGTATAATTTCCTGACCATTTTGAAAATATCCTGGTTTTCTGAAGAATTCGCGAGAGCGCGCGCGCAAGCTTTCTTGTGGGAAATCCGCGCTGCGAAACCGAATGTTTTCAATGTTTTTGTTTTTGATACTCGATTTCGAAGTCCTTACGACACCGACGGTGTTCGAAGGATCTCGGCATGTGCGCGCGACGACGCGCGCGCGTGAACTCGTCCCACTTGTCGCGAGGGGAGTCTTGGAAACTGATGATTTGCGATAAACGAATGCGCGCGGAGGATGGCGGGGGGGGGCGGATACCGGCTCGGCTGGGATGGCATGAACTTGTTGTAGTACAATTCGCCGGCCCAACGGGCCAGAGGCGTGCTAAGATCTCCGGTAACTGGTTGACAATAACTCTATACTTCGCGCGCGCGGAGCGGCCCCTGGGGGTCCCCGGCCGGAAAAAAACCCGGCAAGGTCCTGGGGCACTCCCGGCAAACTCAGGTCAGAAATGGTTTTCCTCCTGGATGCGGCCTTCCACGCTCCCCGGAGCGCGCCAAGAGGGCCCCGACAGGCTTCCAAGACGGTCCAAGAGGGTTCCGAATCACCGAACGATCGGCCCAAGACGCCCAACACGGCCTCAAGACGGCCCAAGAAGCTTTCAAGACGTCCCAAGAGAGCCCCGACCCTTTCCAAGAGAGCCCCAAGAGGCCAAATTCATTGATTTCCATTGGATTCTTCAAGGTTTTTGGCTTTCTCGCCTGCTCGCGTTTCCGACGCTCCAAGACGGCCCAAGAAGCCTCCAAGACCACCCCAAGAGGCCTCCAAGAGAGCCCCAAGACCGCCCAAGAGGGCCCCACGACAGCCCAAGAGGCGCCCAAGACGGTCCAAAAGGACCCCAAGAGGGCCCCAAGAGGGGCCCAACATGGAGACCACGAACCGAGAATCCGAGCCTTCCGCTCCAAGAGGCCTCCCGGAGGCTCCAAGAGGCCCCCAAGAGGCCCCCAAAGGCGACTAGGGGCCCGAAAGAGACCCCAAGAGGCTCGAGAACGACTCCCGAGAGTCTCCAAGAAGCCCTCGAGAGGCATCCAACGATATCCCAATGAACGTCCACGAAGCCTCAGAGCGCCAAAACCATTGATTTCTAGTGGGTGTTTCAAGGTTTTTGGCTTCCTCGCCTTTTCGCGTTTCCGACGCTCCAAGACGGCCCAAGAAGCTTCCAAGACCACCCCAAGGCGGCCCAAGAGGCCTCCAAGAGAGGCCCACGACCGTCCAAGAGAGCCACACGACAGCCCAAGAGGCGCCCAATACGGTCCAAAAGGACCCCAAGAGGGCCCCAAGAGAGGCCCAACATGGAGACCACGAACCGAAAATCCGAGCCTTCCGCTCCAAGAGGCCTCCTGGACGCCCCAAGAGTCTCCTAAGAGGCCCGAACAAGCGACAAGGGGCCCGAAGAATGCAAAAAGGAAGCTGCTGAATGTTGTCTTGTTCCCTGCGATCGTATTCGCGAGCCGCCACCTTCCGAAACAGAAGGTTCAGGCGGGCAAAGAATGGTTCCCGCCTGCGAAATCACCCAAAGCCAGCCATCCATAAACAAAAAACAACCCAGCAGCACCCCATTGACAACGATCACACGGGCACTCGACAGTCGTGCACCAATACGGGCCGGCGGAATGAGCGAAGCGTTTCCATAGATTATATTATGCTGTCTGAAGCGCGGGGGGCGGCGAACTGCGCAAGCAGTAAAG